AGTATCAATATCGGTTATCGGCTACATGAGTTTTAAAATATCGGCATATCGGATATCGGCCAAAATCCGATTATATCGTGCATCCCTAATTCTTACTGTCAGTAACAACCTATGTAATCTCAAAAACACAAAAAAAAAGAATGTATTATGATTTATAATGTTTAAAGGGTTACACTTTGCAATAGCTTTTATAACCATCATTTATAAAAGGCAAGAAGACTATTTATTAACATTAACAGATAGTTTATTAATGTTTGATTTATATGTAACCTTGATATAGACCATTTATGAATGGTAAAATTAAGGTAATAAACCTACTGATGTTAGAGTAAGGGTAAGTCCAACATGACAGGACAATAAATGCTAGGTTCAGGTTTTAAGTTTGCTGATGTTTGGGTTAGGGATAAATTTACATGGCAGGGCAATATGATCTATTGACCTTATAAACCTAAGAAATAAACTGTATACCTTATAAATGGTTTAGATGCAGTTTATAAATTATCAAACAATTATAAACTATATGTTAACTATTAATAAATCGTCTCTTTACTTTTTATAAATAAGGATTATGATGTTATTGTAAAGTGTTACCATTTAAAGTGTATAGTGTGAGGGCAAACTCTATGCACAAACCGTCGTAGCTTTTCTTCTATATTGTCTGATATACAGTATTTTGTGCTTATGTGAAGAAAGGAGACTGGGCCATGCACAAACTGGAGTGTTCAGCTATGAATGCATTTGGAGAGAATTGGTGTCCGTCAGAGACGACCCGCCTGGTGGCTCGCATCCTCGCCAAGAAGGTTGGCCTCTTTTTTTTTAAAACAGGAATTTGTAAAAAAAAAAAAAAAAAAAATTATTTAAAAAAATCCCTTTTAAGCACATAGTTTGTTTCCAGAGGTAAATTAATGTTAAATGTTTTTATCTCAAAGCAGAAAATGATGAAAGAGCGATGTGTTTCAGAGAAGCTGTTACTAATTGAAGAACTGGAATCACGTAAGTAAATACTGTTATTAAATTATGATAAAGGCTTAAATGTTTAAGATTCAGACTCAACCTTTATCTTTATACATTTTAAAAAAAATGTTAAAACTGTTTTTGCAGAAGGTATATGTTTTTTAGTATGTCTAAAGCGCTAATGTTTGTAGTTTTTCCTTTGGCATCTTTTTAAACACTTTTTCTTGTAACACTTAGAAATTACCAGAGTATGCTGCTAACATGTTAAAGAAGTGTCTAAACTTAAAAGCGATTATTAATAAAAATGTGTAGGGATATGACAACAAGACCTGAGAGGTCTTATTTTAAACTGCTGTATGCCAAGTCTGGGGCTAAAAGCTCTTTAGGACTCGCCTTGTAGAAAAAGGATGTTGTACTGCATTGCTTTTCCTAATTTTTTTTTTTGTAATATCTAAAAACTTGTGAGTTTAAAAGGGATTTTATGTGACAGATGTGACCAAACATTTGAAATCAACAAATCTAAATATTGTGGCTGTACACTTAAATTTACCCTTTTTCATACACCTTAAAATCCCAGTGCAAATATAAAACCAAACAAATTATTAGATAACCATGCAGATATTTAGATATTTCACAAAGAAGAAAAAGTGTCAAGAATGGGTGGTGAGGTTGCTTGAGGACCCAGATGCAGAGACGAGTGAAGCAGAGATGAGTTCTGAGAGGTTTAATTGAAGAACAAAGGAAACAGAGGTACAAATCCAGAAATCTAACTAAAATGTTTAACAAATTAAAAACCATGGAGACATCAGGGAAAAAAACGAGCCTGAGGAGCCACTGGGAGATGAGCTGAGTAGACGAGTACGAGAGAAGGAACCAGCACTGAGAGACTGCAGAGGTGAAGTATTTAAGGAGAACAAAACAAAGGATGGACTAACGAGCTGAATGAGGAGCAGGTGTGGGTGGAACTGGCAAGAGGGAATCCAAGAGGAAAGAAAACAATCACAAGGGGGCAACAGAGAGTAACCAAAGAATGCTAGAATATTATGGAAAATAAAAACAACTGATAACAGAAAACTGAAAACTCAGACACAACAAATAAGAACCATAACAAAAAGAAGGTGCTTAATATAGAAATATGACAACAAATGGTCAATTTCAATGGGCATAAGATTTTTTACAAGCCACTGTTTAAGCGAAAGCAACATTCCTTTCAACAGGTTTACATAAAACGAATGACTAAATTAAAAAGATTGTGTTGCTAAATTAGGCTTTACATAGCATCAATAGAGTTAATTGGTGAGAAAATAGAAATAGTACCGGTATTGTATTTCCCTGACTGCACCAGATCTAGAGGATGAAGACAATGAAAAAAGAGAGAGGACTGAGGCTGATATTGCTGGACTCCATCGATTTTACCCCAAACACTTGGAGGTGCCTGACAGAAACGACTTGCTTACACTCTTTTCTCAGGTATCAAAAATAAATATGCATTTATTGACTTTCTTTAATATAGGTGAGCAGCTCAATTCTTCATTTTTTCATCCATTCCAACTGTCTGTATTTAACAGGTTGCCTGTAATGGTTTTACAATAGAAGATGATGAACTTTCCCACATTGGAACCGCAGTGTATCCAGAGTAAGAAGCAAGCCTCATACTATGTGCACTCACTAACATGATATTAAGGTTATTTCATGATAAAATTAGTAGTAAAAAGAAAGATTAAAAAAATAAGATAAAAAAATGATCAAACTAGTTGTAGAAGTTTTTTTGTTGTTTTTTTACTGCATACACCTGACATTTTTCTTGTTATGCAGCTCCCTACAACCAGATTAAAAACACCCAACTATCTGGATTAAAATTTCAACATCACTGAATTTAATTGAACTTTGGAAGAGCTAATTTCAGTATAAAGGAAAATATGACTGCACTGTACTTTTAAGGCTTGACCCCCAAAAGGTTAATGTGAAAAAGCACGCTGATATTCGTTAAAAAGTTATTTCCATGTGCAAAATCAGAGGAGCAGCAATCCTTTCTGGGTGTGTACCATTAAAAATACTGTAAGCAGGCCTTATTCTATTGAACACGCATGCAGATTTATGGGTGGAGGATATGCAGATACAAATACTTACCAATGGCAAAGCAATTCACTAAACCTCACTGTGAATGCAGGCACAGCTTTTGCATCTATTATAAAAAAGTCAGGTGTAAACTTGTACGCAAACACTTATCCAGTCATTGTGACCAGAATGGAAGCATTGGTGCAATGATGGATTATGGGGAGAGTAGGTGCACAGGTGAGCATATTTGGACTGTCGGGAAGGTCTGTGTGACAGGCACAAATTAATGCAGCAGGAAACAATTCCGATTGCAAATAAATCCAAAATAATGACCAAATCTGAATGTTGTATTTTTTTCACAAAGCAGGATTAAATATCATTAGCCACTCAAAAAAAAAAAAAATGACAGAAGTCGTAAAGGGACGTTAAAGGAGATGCAACTTAAAGAATGCATCCCCGACTCACAGTAAGAGGGATTTTTTTCCCCTTATCTCTTTTGAGCTCTTTTAATAAATTATATTTATCAGTGATATACTATTCAGAATAGTTATCAGCCTTTCTTCCATCTGCATAGTTTAAGGACTACACTCCAAATAGCACATGTAATTTACTCCTTAAAACAACTTAACCTGTTTGCATGTCTTTCCCCTAATGCATCCAAATTTTGTCTATCACCCACAACAACGCCAATATATTACAGGCACCATGTATTTTTTGCTCACACACTGATTTTGCTCAGCCCCTTAGCATTCTGCAAATATGTTTTCCTTTCAGCTTATCTCATACGCTGCAGAACTGCTGTTTTTATAATACGCCTGGCTGTAAAACAACAATGATGTACCCTGCAACAAGGTGACAATGTCAAAACAAGGGCAAGATGAAGTCTATCATTAAATAGTTTTTTTAAAACCATCATGTTATTTAAGTGAACAATGTTTAATGTTCCTTCTTCTGTTTTAACTCATTTAGGAAACCAACGCAGTTATTTACACTGTTTTTCCTCCACAGTGTGGCGCTTATAAACCACAGTTGTCTTCCCAGCGTCATAGTCACGTATAACTGCACGACGGCTGAAGTCCGGGCGGTGCAGGACATGAAGCCTGGAGATGAAGTGAGGAAAAGGCATGACTGCCATTAGAGGGGGTCTGATCCTGTTTTAGTTTTCTTATAACATTTATGTAAATTGAAGAACCCTGATTTATATTTAGCAAACTAATCTGCTTGATTGTACGTAAAAATAAAAATAAAGAGTAGAAAATGTTTGTGTCTTTAAAAAGGCGAATAACTGGGAGAATAACCAGAGAGTACCAAGTTAGTTGGAATTTACTCATGTGGAAATTGTGTTTAATCTTTTCCTTTCTAGGTTCTCATAAGCTACATAGACCTCCTATATCCAACTGATGATCGAAACATCAGGCTGAGGGAGTACTATTACTTCACCTGTGACTGCTTGGAATGCAAAACCAAGTCTAAAGTAAGACCCAAAGAATGAAAATATATGTAAATCCCTTTGTTGTCCCACAATTGATTGACATTTTGACCCATCCCCTTGGGAAGCAGTGGGCTGCCATTGTTGGATGCCCAGTCAGTGTTGGGAGAAGGGTTTTGCTCAGGAACACATAGTAGAGGCTGTGGAGACTGAACCAGGTACTTGCAACCTTCTCAGAGCACAAGTGCACTGCTCTAACCCACTAGGCCAACACTCCCCTGAAAAGTAAATATAAAATAAAATGTAAGCCTCCACATGTAATGGCAACGCCTGTAACAATTTGGTAACATCTGACAAATACATCTAGAAGCTTTAATGCTATATCGTTCTTGAGTAAGTTTTACAAAATGTCACATTCCATACCACCCTTCTCAGTGTCCCTGCCGGGAAAACACACATGGACCATAAACGTGGTTACGTTTCCAGAGGAGTCAAACATTTTAGTGCAGACAGGGATCATTTTTCCAATGTACCTTATTAAAGTTTGTTTAACTTATCCATTTTAAGGAGTTAGTAAACAAAAATAGCATCAGTGCCTCATATGTAAACCCCACAATAGCAAAAAATACAAATTAGTGGGCTGAAATACCTAGACAACCAAAGAAAATTAAATTATTGGCCAAATGTGAAATGTTTAGGGGAGAAGTGGCTTAGAGGTTCTGAGTTCAAGCCCCACTCCCATAGCTGCCCCTCTGGGTTTCTGACTAAGACCCTTAACCCCACACTGCTGCCAGGGTGCCCCACAATGGCAGCCCACTGCTCCCCAAGGGGATGGGTTAAATGCAGAGAGTTCATTTCATTGCTCTGTACTTGTGACAGTGTCTTGTGATAGTGTAATGACAATAAAAAAGCTGTGGAGAGGGCTGTAAATGATGTATTTAGTGCTTTGATGATATATGAGAATTTTCTCACATGTTCTGTCTCCTTTATTCATCCACAGGATGAGGAAAAGTTGAAAGTTCGTAAGCAGAGAGACCCATTCGAGCCACATGTGGTCAACAACATGATCCGTTACGCCAGGAACACAGTCAGGGAATTCCGGGCCCTTAAGCACATCAGAAATATCTTTAACTGCTGAAAAACAGTATTTGTTTTGCATTTAAAATGACATGTTGCCTGATTTCATCTAATATCCTTTGATTTCTACAAAGTTCTTTTACTGAAAAGACATAATAGAAACTCTTATATTTTTTTTGTGAAGCTTTTTTGTGTGAATGCATCCTTGACTCAGTGGCACCGCCTAGTGAGCTGTTGGAGATGTGTGAGCAGAGCTTGGAGAAAATGGGAGCTGTGTTCGATGACTCCAACGTCTACATGCTCCACATGATGTACCAGGCCATGGGGGTTTGCATTTACATGCAGGATGCAGATGGAGCTATTCGATATGGACAGAAGATCCTAAAACCTTACAGGTAAGAAGGAACAAAAACCTACAGGTTGCAGAGCAAAGAGATGCACAGTTTTGACATAACTATATTTTTGTCTTGTCCAAAAATGGGAATGATATTAAATTAATTTTACTCGGAACTAATAAAACAGCTTACCTGCAGGGGTCCTGATTTGCAGTCTTATTAGCAGCTTATATTGTTTTGTCAAATTGTAATAGTTTTTAAATTTAAATTTAATTTGCATTGAAACAACAAACCTCAGTGTGTCAAAATGGGATTAAATAGACAAAAAATAGAAAGTAAATGTGGTTTTTCGTATATTTAGAGCATATTTTATATTAAGTCTCAAACTTAGACTTTAACGTATTTATTTTTTGATTATTTAAAAAAAAAAAGGAAAATGATCTGAATATGTTGATCTTTTTTACTTTTTCCAGTAAAATCAGAAAAAAATACTTATGTATATAATATACTTTTGAAGAGTCGCTAAAGCAATTAATCATTTTTAGCTGCATTAGCTCTTAATATTATTTTTATTTTAGCAACCTAAATTCCAACATTATATAAGTAGGCTTGTGAGGATGAGAGTTGTTTGTATTTTGGTTTTTTTCTTTATTATAAAAATGGCATCAAAAAAGATTGTATTCTTTTTTCTTACAAACATTTCTGCTCAAATTGATAACTCTCAGAAAGTTTTCATAGTTTGTCACTTTTATGAAATAAGCAGGTTAAAAAAAAACAATATAAAAACACACAAACATGTTTCAATTAATGGGTTCATCAAAACCAAACAGGCTTTCGAAATTTTAAACAGATTTGAAGTTATTATATATTTTTTGCAATATTTCTTGGTGCATTACACCTGCCAGAACTGTTAGTGGAATATTTCCCATTGTTTGAATTAAAATGTAAATATATATATATATATATATTCTTTAATATATTTTGTTTATTTTGTCTGCATGGTCTCTGTAATGCATCCAGCAAGCTCTACCCCCCCTACTCGCTGAATGTTTCCTCTATGTACCTGAAGATGGGTAGAATCTACATGATGATAGAGCGCCACTCTGAGGGCATCAGGGCTCTCAAGAAGGTAGGGTGTCTTTCTAAGCGTTTAGATCAAACTTCATCATGTGTTGTTTTGTTTTTCTTGTAGAAATTATTTAACTTTATATACAATGTTTCCACAAAGCAGTCAGGTTTAACGAGCTGTTTTCATTTAGATTCTGTCTTGTTTTATCATCTAGCTGTTTTTTATTTATTTGTATTTGGAAAATATTTTCATTATACAGAGATAAAATGATACAAAGTTCAAATAGATTTAGCTATTGAAGTTGTGTCCATAAAAAAGGGAAACAATAATGCAAGCTACAAAGAGAAATATTATCTAAAAGAGTAATCAATTAACAATCCTAAATTTAAACTGAAATGTGGCCTATTTTCATACTGGCTGACGTCTAGCTTTAGTTTACTGGGAGAATTTCCTCAGGAAATATTAATACCAATTTTGGTATAATTTTGTATTTGTTACAGCCTATTAGTATTTGTGTATTTATTCCTTGATTGAAAAGAAAAACAACAGTGGCTTAAAATCATGGTGAGGATGTTGTGTCGTCAAAATTAACTTCAATAATTTAGGAAATCACCACAATTTCTTAAGCTGTCACAATTTCGATATAACTACATGGGGAAAATATGTGAAATAACGTCAAATGGATGTTGAAGTAACTTCTATTTTTCCCACTGAACAGGCCATGGCTGTGATGGAGGTGGCCCATGGAAAGGATCACCCTTTCCTCAGAGGCCTGCGTAAAGAGATTGGACAAAAGTGAAGAAAGCTTTGTGACTTTTTTTATCCAAACTTTGAAGAGCAGGGAGATTTGTTTTAATGTTAAAGAAAGTTACAAAAACAACAAATTATGTTTTACACAGTTATCTAGCTGTATAGCTGTATACCACTGTAAGGATTTGAAGGAGTAAAAGTGTTTTTATTGCACATATTGCACTGGAGGGGAATAGTTTTCAATGTTAAAACCGTTCAAGTAGTCAGTCTGTTTTGTTATACAGGACACACTGGCCACATCTGAAGGGAAGGTAAACAAACCCAATGTTTGTTAAATGACATGCATTTAGTTTTCTTGCAAATGAGTTGAGGGTGAATGCTCTGCTGATTTAGGGCTTATAGGGTGTGGAGGAGTAAAAGGGGATGCCCACCCAGGGGGGCATTTATGCATCAACCTCTATTGCTTCTTATGATAAAACAGTTAAAAAGAAATAAATATGTTTTCTTTTTCATTTACCGGTAATAAAATCTTCAACCATTTAATTTCTTTATCTGTTTCCAATGTAGTCACAGCGTTGCCTTTTTTTAAGAGAACACAATTTCAAAGCAGAATCTGAGAAAACCGGACTTTCCCTCAGCACCACTACTATCTGTTATAGACAAGAATCTGTTTTTATCTGGACCCGATGGTACCGGCTCGAAACAGGAGTGTTATGTTTGAACATTCCTCAGATGTGAGGATGTTTTTTGATATGTGGCATCCAGTGCAAGGTTTTTGGGCTGTCCAGTGGTCTGCCTCACATCCAGCTAGACATTTTCCAGATCAAACAGTTTCAAAAAGAAAATCTTTATCTTAAAAAAATATAATCATGCATAGGGATAATATTGTTTTTTTCATTCATTTAGCAAGATCCAGGTCATAAAATCATAAAGAAATTATTTTACACTATTGGCAAACACACTATTGCCCAAAGCATTACATCAGAGCATTATAGTTAGATGTTTAATCTCTACATAACTGCAAGTGCATGTAACCTCTGCATGCAGGCTGCTACTGCAGATGCGTGAAAATCTGAGGCTGAGTGAATAAGGGTGCAACCTACACAATCAGTTCACTGTCAGCAGAATCAAAGCTCCAAACTTCATGTGCCCTTTGGCTTCAGAGCAATGCACACATAGATTTTCTAGTTTCTACAGCTCATCTGCTGCATTCAAGCCCAACAACAGCGAGTGCAAAACTCAACATCAATGTTAGAAATGATGCAATGTTCCCTGGAGTAAAAAATCACTATTCCCATTGGTCAATCCAGGGGAAAGGCACTTTTCTGACTGCTCTTTAAGCGATTGGTATAATGCTACCATTTATTAGGGGTTACTTCAACTCTTTGCAATAGCGACAGGAACACCTAGTGCTGCAATCAGTAAGTATGACTTGGTTATACATATTGATTGTTTGTGTGAAAACAGTTTCGATTTAAGTTCCAATTTTCCTGTAGAACAGAAAAGATGAAAAATTTCAAACATTTAAACAATAAATATGTATTTACATTAAATTACATTTTGAATTGAAAAAGCTTCCTGGATGGGAAGTGAAACACCTTCAAACTTGGAAATAAAGTCCAGTGGATTGTTTGTAATTCTTTTTTGGAATATGTACATTAAAATAAAATGACCATCTTTAACCACAGTAAGGTTTTAAATCAAGTCAGACAATCTCTAAAACACACAAAATGTTACAGGGAAGGCCTCAGACTTAAAGAAAATAAGGATTTTATTGCATAATAGGCAAGTACAACAGTTTCATACATGTTTGGGGAGAGGAAACACAACTGAATGCACTCAAAATGCATATACAAAACCTATGTACATATATCTGAAGTATATTTTGCATGTTTTTTTAAAAACAAATGAAAAATGGAAGGTGGGACAAATTTAAATAGAAAACAAACTGTGGAATGCAGTGTGGTAAATACTGTTGAATAGGAAAGGAGTGCAACAAAAACCCTTGAATGTCAAAAGTGTTTAAAGCTTATACAAATCTGAGAACGTAACGTAAAACATATACACAGAAATGTTAAAATGCATGCATAGTTTATGTTTCGGTATATTAAGGTTACCAAGTCGATAAAAAGAAAACTATATAAAATATTTATGTAAAATGTAATGGCTGACATGGTTGACTTAGTACAGCTTCAGTTCAGAAAAGAAGAAAAATATGGATTAAAGGTTTATTAAAGGGTTTTATGGGCAACACTTTTTATTCCTTTTCACTCTTGGCAAAATATTTTGTTCCTCACACTTATCTTAATAAAACAAAAGATCAAGATTTTTTTTTGTTTATTTTAATACAACTTCTTAAATATCAATTTATAAATCTGGTATTGAAGAAATCCACACATTCCATTTTTTAAGGCACAAATAAAGTAAAAACCATCCATTATCTTCCATTTGTAATCACTATAAAGTTTTGAAATGTGTTAAAAATTTACATATTATTTCTGAAATGTACCACACTGCAAAAACGACCTAGAAATAAGCAAACATTCTCATATTAATTGTATTTACCCTTAATTTGAGTAGATAAATAAGATGATTTTCCAATGGAATGAGTATCTCTACTCCTAAAATAAGATAATTTGAAGATATGCACTTGATATAAAACAATGCAATTGTTTGTTGTTTTTTTTCAAATTTTATATCTAAATTATCTCATTCTATTGGCAAAGTGTCTCAAATACCTCCTTAATTCAAGAAAAAATTCAATTATTTTAAGAAAAAATGACTTATTTAGATTTCAGTTTTTTGCAGTGCAGATTTCTTATAGGCTTAGAACAAAATCTTTTAACTGGCAAATCTTTACATTAAAATGTATGAAATCTCAGGAAATCTTTTAATAAAAAAGTAGAGAAAAAAGATTAAGACGAGTTCAAAAGAACAGCGTGCCAGCCAATGGCGAAGAGAAGGTGACCACAGTCTTATTAGAAATAAATAAAAACATTTGTTACAATGTGGTAGTAAATATTTGTCAATATTACGTTAAAAAAAAAAAAAAAAACACAAGAACATTTATACTCAATTTGGCAAACAAGAGTGAAAATGTAGTTTAAACTAATAATACTGCTGCCATTTACTGTTTATGCAGCATATTATAACTTCTAACACTGGCTTTTTAAAATAATTTTTACAAACACATAGGAGGTGAGAAATCTCCCACATTCACACTCGCAGCGATGAGCTGCTTTTTGACCTGACTTGCACGGAAATAATGCATTTACATATATGCTTAAAACAAAAAGAAAACAGATTAAAGATGCGGCCGAAACAAAGAGTTAAATCTGAATATGATACGAAGGAGCAGTTAAATTCTTTTACATTTTTTGAGAGAATTTACTTTTCAATCCCAATCTGCTTTCAATCCCACTTATGTACACAAAGAGGAAAGCGAGTACCGTTCTCGTAATCAGGGTACATCTCCTGTAAGACTGAACAGACTCAGATGAGGCGGGAGTTTTTGAGAAACTGGATGAGCACCTGGTAGACGAATTTATACTGGGAGATGGTCTGCACCATCAGCATCCTCTGCTGCCTCAGCTCTGACAGCATGGTAGGAACTTCCACTGGCTAAAACGAAAAAAGAAAAAAAAATCATGTTAAAATGCAACATAAAATTCCCATAAATTCTCCTGATGTATTTTACATCTTGTGTTTCCATGGAGATTCGTACAAGTTCCTCTAAAAACTAGATGAATGCTTATTTCCACTTATCTGAGAACATTAGTCCCTGTTATTATAAACACACCTCATTATGCTCCAGGCAGCTGATCATGAGCTCAGCGAGAATCACCACGCCGGTTCGACCCACGCCAGCGCTGCAATGCACCACAACTGGTGGGTTAAGGCTCTTTGAGGTATCCAGCATAGAGTTGGTGTGCCTCCTCACAGACTGAATCTGTTCTAAATAGGCTGAAAATAAAAGAGAGAAGAAAGAATTTCTAGTGGTGGGCTGATTCTCTAGACATCAGTAAAAGTATTGTTCATGAGTCAGGTCCACTCACAGAGAAACCCAGGAACATATTCAGGACACCCTTGCTCAGGCCAGTCAGTGTACTGCAGGTGCCAAACTGTCCTCTCTTGGCCCGACAGCAGGTGTTTGACTTTCAGTCCTGTGGTGGCGTAGCAGTTGTACTCGGTGCGAAACTTGGTGGTTACCTTGAACTTGCCGTAAGTGGCTGAGTTGTGCTTTGAGCCCAGTTTGGGCCAGTAGCGGTGACTCTTGGACCTGCCACCCTCCTGGACAGAACATGAAGGGAAGGAACGGAGAAGAAGTTGTTAAAGAAATTCAGAGCTAAACAATTTTTCAAATCAGATCTGTAAAGGATGCTGTGCATGTGGCAGGGATCGACCGCTGAGATGGGAGAATCTGACAAGATTCTGACCATGATATATGTTTTTTACCTAATTGAAAATTAAATGAACATATTTCACAAAGCATCCTAGCTATAAAACCTGGTAGCGGCTGCAATATAAAAAGTGGCAGGGACAGAGTTGCTGGTCTGAGGTGATGGGACGACGGCTGGATCTGTATAAAGGACAATCCTGCAAGGAGACAAGCCTGGGATGGCAAAGGACTTTGCTGGGTAGGAAGTCCACCTTATAGCAGGGCAAAAACTTTACATGAGCTTTATTAGTTTAGATCAAACAGCAGTTATTTGTTACATTGGTCCAGTCAAAGTCGAGATTTAATCTAGCTCCAAATCTTTGTAAAGTTAAGAACTTATAATCACAGCTGCTCTACATCCATTGAGACCAGCAATCGATCCAAATAAGGAAAAACATAGAAGTTCCAGCAGCTCAAAAAAAAGAAAAAACTTCATCCATAAAGATTCCTAGTTACAAATATAAATAAATATAAAACAATTTTAAATTTTTGAACTAAGAAATATGTTTACCCTGACTTTCCTTCTCTTTATATTCATACACTATTGTTATTTTTTGTCGGTCTATCACTTGAAATCCCAATAGAGAACATTGAAGACTGTGGGTGCAATGATGCAAATGCAAAACAAACATTAAAAAATACACTTTCATGCGGCTTTACCTCCTCTGCAGTAACCATGGCGATGACATTGACGCCCTGTTCCCAGATCATCTGCCAGAAGTCTCCACAGGTGTTGGCCAGAGGACCCTGGGTGGCAATGTAGTGCCACTCCTCACCTCTAATCATTACCTGGGAGCCGAAACACACAACCGATTAGTGAGCATTAGAACACCTAAAAAAAAATTTTATTTTCTTTAAAAAAAAACGTACTTCTTTGGGTCAGACTAACTTTAGATTACGGTAGAAGAAAAAGTCTAACTTTTAACGAGCAGATCAATTAGAAAATACTGACAGCCACCACTAGAGAGCAGTATAGAAAAATGATATAAACCCAAGTTCCTTTTTCTTAATCTTGATGTTCTGAACTATTTTAATGATGATAAAAAGGCACAAAGTGACAACGAAAGGGTGATATCTTATAAAAATGTAGTGCCATTACACAATAGACACATCTTAGCTGAATCTTCAAGAATAAACAAGTACTTTAACACTGAGGGAGACATTTGTTACTAGCAGAGAAGTGAGAGGATTACAGAGCAACTCCATTCAGTTTGATGTGCACACACTGTTTTTAATTTAGCATGAATAAAATAAGGGCAGCTCTAGTTACCAAAAGAAGTTTTGACAACATTTGTCAGTAATTCCAAGAACTTGGAGCCCAGAACAAACTTTGTTGGCGACATTTCATGCCTTCTTTTAAAAGAATATCTAACTGATGAGAGATGACAACAGTTTAATAAGTTCCTTCCTGGTTTGGATTTAGGTTTTATGAAATGAGCACAAGCATGAGGTATAAAACATCACACAGAGTAATAAAAGCTCTGATTTCGGTCATGGCACTGTTAGCTAAGGCGATAAAATTATTAAAATATATGAACAATAAAATAGGATTGTAAAGTCATATAAAGATAATTAACAGGATTAACACAATGAATAAATCCAATTATTTGCCAAATATTATACTAATACATGATATATAAAACACAAAATAAGATCAACAATAATAATAAAATTCAATTAAATAAGGAAACATAATTAAAGTAATTTCAAGTTAGATAATAACATGATATTTTAAATATAAAATAAATACAAATGTATTAAAAATAATTAAGATAATAAAGAAAATAGAACATGGAAAAAAGGATCAGGAAATCTGTCTTAGGCGAAGTTGTTCTGTGTTGAGACCATGTGTTTAAAAAAGATTTTAACGACCTTAATTTCACATTAGCAGTTATGTGTTCCTGAAACCTGGTCCTCAAAAAATATATAAGTAAGCATATAATGTCTGTTAAAGCTGTTTAATATATATATTTTTTTACTTTAAAAAGGTGAAAGGCATAAAACATGAAACTTTCTGCTGAATTGTGAACAATGCCTTCGTTCTTTTAGAATTCTGTGCAGAATGTCAAAATGATTTCCATCAGGTGGGCCGACTAGAATTGCATCACATTGAGGCAGATGCTGTGTTTTAAATTGAAACCAGTTTTTCCTATTTACCCTCAGTGTTTTCAACGCACCTTGATATGTGAGGCATTAATGTAGCCTGTGTTGTTCTCTTTGTTGGGTACCAGCTCCACCCGATTCTCCTCATACGGGACGACGTCGCGGAAGCGATTTCTCTCTGCGTTTTCAGGCAAAGTCGCTGTGGTGAGAAGGCAGTCGGCCCTCTTCTTGGGCACCTGCTCGTACTCTGTGAAGACCCGGTCCTCCTCCAGCTTCAGCTCTAAAGTTTCACACTAAAAAATGAGATGTCAGAGGTTAGGTATTACTTTTTCACATAATATCTATAAAAAGACGTCCAGGGTGTTTCTGAATTAAATGTAGACTTCATAACCATGACTTAAAGTAACGCCCAAGTCTGGAGCGTTCATCACCAACCAGAGCAGCATGTGTCTATTAGGATGGTTTTGTCTTGGTTAATTCTTCTTTCTCACACACCATCTCCCAGGTCACATTCTTTACATAGCAGTCGGCCCAGAGATGTTAAGCTGCACTGGGGCCAGGCGTCTCACAGACCCCTTTAGGGCGACGGCCAGGGACAAAAACTGGGTTTAACAGTTCAAATCAAAAACAGTGCAAACTTCCGGACAAGAAAGGAAAACCTAAATGTAAAGAGCTGCATATTTGGCAGACTGAGTATGATGCCAGTCAAAAAAGAAACAAACATCTTGCATTTCTAGAAATAGCACGGTTAAAGAGAATATCCCGTTCAACTAAAACCACCATAAAGGATGTCATTCTACAGCTTTAAGATTCAGAAATAAGTACCAAAAAGGTTGCAGGAAAGTGGAGATTTTACCCTTTCGTCTGATGTCGACTTGGCAGCTTCCTCCCCTTGATTCTTAGCGACGGGCATTCTCGCCACGTAAAGGCCGTTGAGCGCCGCCATCATCAGCGGCCTCCTCATGGAGTCCACCGACATCTTCTGTCTTTCCAGCGTCTTCAAGAGAGAGGAAAATCCAGGTGTCATGGTGACTGGCAGCAAATGCGAACAGCCTGTGTAGGCGCATGCGCACAAGCAGAACCAGGTGCTTGGATCAATTCTTGCTACACCGGCCATGTCTACCTTTACCTTCACACTTTGAAATGTCTCTTCTAGCTTTTGCTTACCTCTGCAGCTATCCTTCTTAGAAACAGCTCATCCACTTGTGTCGAACAGACTCTTTATTTCTTGTCACCAAATTCTGAACAACATACCAGAGTCCCTCCTTACACTAGGGATTACTTGGCCCTAATCTGCGATGCTATTAAACCACCAAGACAGCCCCGCCTCCTTCATCCTCTATGGGACAGCCAAAACAACGGCTTGGGGTTTTTAGGGTCAGGAGGTGATTGCCTCAGCATATCAGATAAGCCATCAGGTAGATATAAGGGTGAGCAGCTTTAGACATGAGTAAACTCCCTAAGCGAAAACATCAAAATCTGCATCTAATTCAATTGTACAGAGCAGGACATTAAATCTATAGCCACACTCAGGTTCTGTGTCTGTCTCACAACAACGCCCAACTGGATGGATAATCTGAGGGATTTGTGGGGGCCTTTGGTTGCCTGTGGGGATCCAAAGGCCGGTGCTGCATTATTATGGATTGAAACCCAGATTACTGCCAATCAGAAGCTTTGAAACAGCAAGTAAACAACAGATAATAGTTCTAACTGCACTGCCATAGGATCAGTACAGAGGTACAAAATGTACTGTTCACAACAAGACTAACAGACACTATTAATTCACCCCAAAAAGTATAATTAAGGTAGAAAAAAAAAACATAATTAGCCTCTTTCCTTGGGAGTAACAAGGCACTTAATTATAAGAAATACTTTTTAATTGCAATTCTTAATCAAACACTATCAATACCTTGATAGCAATAAAGGCAGTTAACTAAAAACTAATCTTTTGTTGGACTGTGGGAGGAAGCCAGTGAACCTGTCGAGTAATAAGCAATTAAGCATAAAAGTGTCATCATAATAACCTTGCAAAAATAATTCCTATCAATAAAAACAAACAGCAACTATTTAAATAATTGAATATTATTTAGGGGATAGTATACATATTCTAAAGCATGGCGCTTGCTGAAAGGCCAACCCAATCAGAGCACTAAAAACACCAAAAAACCTTTGTCTCCAAAACTGAACAAAGATAGCATAACTTGGTACTTGAGTACTGGGGTTAATTTTATTTTGATAACATTATGTTTTTCATGATAAAATTTCTCTTAAAATCCTTATTGCAATATACAAGTTACACTGGCTTTTTATTTGTGTGTGTGACTATTTTCACTATACTGGTGTTAATTCAGAAAGGCTGAGCCTTTGAGATGTTGATGTTGCAGCATATTTCTTTAACTTCAAACGCATCCTTTGATTCAAATGATAAAGTTTACGGTAAAGACATCCTATGATATCGACTTAAAAGAAATACAATATTGATTTTTCTTTCATATTTTTTTCAAGAAATCACTTTTATATAATTTTAGTGACACTTACTTTTCACATGTTCCTTTATTCATAAAATAACACTCAAGTAAAATTGAATATCTGCAGAGTAGGTCAACATTTTATCCAATAACCCTGTTAATCTTTGTACTTATTGATAGTTGATTAATATAATGGTAGCTGCAGCCCTACTTTCAATGTAACTGTTTATAAACCTTGGTGTATTTAAATAGTTGTCTAAAACTTTAAAGTGCAAAAATGTTAACGTTTAAACAAACTCACTTCTCTGGGTCAGAGAATATGTGGTTTGGATTTTTGTACAGCTTAAATGACCATATAAATACTGAAAATAACTGATGGTTATCTGAAACACGACTAGGAAGCTCGATCAGATTTTATTCCTTTTCCAAAAGAAACAGCAATACCCATAGCTTTGGCAATCTTTGAAGTACTACTTAACATTAATCAATATTGGAATAAGATTAAAGAACTGCAATAACTACCTAACCTAACAAGATGGGCAGAAGAGCAGAATCAAGAGAATCGTAGAAGAGCTGCAGAGACCCATAACTCTGGTTTAGCAGGGCCTTTAACACTGATACAAGTTTATTGGATGGATGGAGCTTCATATCTGAGGAAAACCTGTTTGAAACTGTTAGTCTTATTGCCACAGCAAAGGTTAATCTTTAAGCAGGACATAAATCCTGCTCATATAGTCACAGCAACAATGGAATGGGTTAGATCAAAGTATATTCTTAGCATGAACTAAGGATGAGTAGCAAGACTCCATTCAGAATGAGCTTGACCTATGTGACACTTAATAATGTGCAAAGCCTTTTTTTCTAGAATTCAGTAAATGGAATTACTTAAAAAACATGAATAATTCTCCTTCTATGCTACGATATTCAACTCTGCAGGGTTTTTTCTCTTATATAAAACCTGATAAAAAAACTAAGCATCTTTGTGATTGCAAGTTGAAAAGGTTCTTACCCTTTGAGCAATCTCCCTCTCCACGATACTGTCCTCCAAAGAGAACATCTCAGACACAGGTCTCTCTTTCACCGGCTCCTTCCTCACCCTCTCCTTTACGCTGGTCAGGTCTGGTTCTGAAATGGATGGACCTAATACCGCCCCGTTCACTGCACCCTGATCCCCCCTGGTCAGTGTCCCTCCGCCACCTGCCCCACCTCCAGCCACAGGCCCGCCAACACCGTGGTCCGTAGGTCCTTGATCGAAGTGTGGTGCCTGATCATGGTTGTGGTGATGAGCGGCTCTGTGACTGGGAGCACGGATGGGAGCGCTGGCAGGATTCCGAGGTGGGCCCGGGTATTCTGGAGGGGGTTTGTTAGGCAGTTTAGCCAGAGCCGCCTGGAGCTGAGCGCTGATGCTAATGTTCTCATTGAGTCCTGGGATTTGAACATCCAGCTCAGGCCTCTCCTCTTCCTCCTCCTCTTCTTCACTCTCACTGCTATGTATAAGCATGGTAGCATTGGAAATAGTCTTTTGATGCTGGTAAGCTACTGGTGCAGGTGGTGCTACTGCAGCCTCAGCAGCATTCTGGACTGGTTTCTGTATAGGAAGCTCCTTTGGCTGCTGGGGGGGTGGTGGGGGTTGCGGCTGAGGCTGCGGCTGAGGCTGGGATGGCATTACTTGCTCTCTGAGAGTATTCCTCCGATGAAGAGCAGTGTTCACAGCTTTCATCGCCAAGCCTTCAATGCCACCTCCCCTCATACTGCTGATGAACTCCATGCTGTGCCTCTTGTCCAGGGCAGACCGGTGCTTAGCACCTGTGGTTAGAGGTTCACTAACCTCCTGCAGGGACTGATGAACAACAGCTGAGCTGTCTGGCTGAAAAGTCTTCACTGACAGCTGCACCATACGGGTAACCAGTTCTGGGCTGCTGCCCCCAATGCAGCGATGCCGGTGGCTGGCGAGGTCCGGCGTGCTGGTCGCTGGCCGGAAAGAGCTGGAAGGATAAGGTGGTGGAGGGCGGGAGATGTGGTTTCTTAACATATTAGCAGTAGTTGTATAATTCCCCATGTTGGCTCCTTGTTGTTTGGTGTTTGCAAGCTCTGGTGTGCTAACAGTGTGGGAGATGGAGCTTCCAACATCTCCACTGCTGTCTCCAACACCATTAGTGCAGGGGGAGTGGCAGGGGCCCTGGCAACTGGCTGGCCCTCCCAAATGGTGCCCGTGAGAAACTGGCTTACTGTAGCTGATCTGGAATAAGGACAGTTAAAGAGGAGAAAACAAAAACAATTAGGCTCATTTAAACCAGAATATTAAGTCAAAAGTCAGAACTCAGGATAACAGTGGCTCTACCTGTGGGGTGTAAGGTCCAGGGTTGGGGCCCGGGCCATGATAGGGGCCCCTCTCCCTCATTTCTGGCTGGCTGTACACCAGAGCCTCTGGTTTGCGATACGCACAGGAGTTGCTGATGTTCAGACTGCGCAGTGACTGGCTGTGGAGGTCATGGTGAGCAGGGACCATCCTGCGCTTTTGCCGCATGACCACTTCGTATTCAGGTGTGGGCCGGTACGACGGAGCGATGATGGCGCTGTGGCGGTGACTTGGGATGTAGTCGGGACGCATAAGCTCACTGCCTGGGATGCTGAGGTTGGACGACATGGGCGAAGGCGGGATGAAGGTCTGAGAACGATTGAGGGAGCTCAAACTCGGGCTGCTGTACATGCTTCCATTGGGAACGGTCCCGTTTCTAAAAGTAAGATCAAGACTGGTCTCCGACTTGTAGTAAGAGTCTTCATGGAAGATGCTGTCTGCAAGGAAGGAAAAAGATATTCATCAGAAACTTTTGAAAAAAGAAAAATAACTCATCATGCTTTGAATAAAAATTATGTAGGGATTAGAAATGTTATTTTGGTTAACTAGGATAACTAGAGTTATGGTGTCACAGAAAAGACACAAAGATGTGGGTGGAAAAAAAAAAAACTATTCAGAAACTGAAAGTGTTCCAATCTTTAGTGTGGCATGAACTTGTCACCTTTTTTGGTGGGAAAATGTAAATCATAATGGGCTGTTAAAAACACTTACAACTAAAAATATAATCTTTTTGGTTAACCACAGTGTTTGACAAGTTTGGCCAAATTGACAAGTTTGGCCATAATAATTCTAGATTTGGAGAAAAATGGAGAGGCTTTTAAGCCTGACGGCATCCCCTATCAACTCCATTCATTTTCTCTCACGCTTATCCCAAGCGGGGTCACGAGGGGTGCTGGTACCCATCTCCAGCTGTCTACACCCTGAACAGGTTGCCATTGCAGAGCACCACAGAGACAAACACGACAAACAACCATTCACGCACAAAGACTAAGGAGAATTTAAAGTAGCCAGTTAACCTAACAATCGTGTTTTTGGACTGTGAGAGGAAGCCGGAGTACCCGGAGAGAACCCACGCATGCACAGGGAGAACATGCAAATTCGATGCAGAAAGACCCCAGGCCGGGAATCAAACCAGGGACCTTTTTGCCGCAAGGTAGCAGTGCTACCCACTGCCCTAATGTGCAGCCTGCTGATGGCACCCCCCCCCAACATTGAAAAACAACAACTGGAACTTGTAATGTAGTAAAGGGTCTTTTCAAGGAAGAATTACCCAAAGGTTTAACAAGCTATTGTGAGAAGTTTGTTTAAGGACACCAAGTTAGTTTAATCCAAGTCATACGGAGAATTACACATGAAACGCTGCTAAAGACTAGTTTAGCCTGTTTTAATGTCAGAAAGTGTATATGTAGTGTGTTTAAACTCGTAATTCTAACAGTTTTTGTGAACATTTGTGTTAATTGAAAAAAGAACATCTTGGTCTACACAAACCAAGATCCCGCCGTAGAATAATCCCACATCCACATACAGTCGCACACCCTGAATGTTTTTCTACTCCGATTTTATTGTTAGCCCAACGTGAGTAAAGCAGTTTGGATTACAAGGCAGTCTGAGTGTGTGAAAGAGTCTATGAAAGAGTGAAGCACGCATGAGGTCACTGATCTGCACCCCCCCTCCCGCCAACAAAAAAGTTGGGCTTCTGATTGGCTGGGAGACCATTAAAATACAAAAAGGAGAAATGAGTCAAATGCCTGATGGGAAAGACACAATTAGCTAAACTCTAAATGTTTGAATTATTGTCAGGGAGGCAAAAAAACAAAACAAAAAAAAACTTAAGGCATACTGTGGTTTATGTGGTAAAATGCAGGGAGTGAAACTTGCTCTAAATATGTCCTTGGAAGTCTGTGTTTTACAATTACCTTGAGAGCTCTGCATGTCCTGGTAATGCTCATGCACGGACTGGAAGTTGCAGGACTGGGGCCGTGGCTGAACAGAGAAATACGTTTAAAAGCAACCAAAATAGATGACAATAAGTCATATTTAAAAGCAAGTGAATGGGATACATTTAGAAATTTTCTCCAGCATAAAAAGCTTGGTTCAAAGCCATGAAATATCATCTTCTATGACACTTTTAGCCAAGGCATTGTTTGGTTTGCTGGGAAGAGGAGGCAGAAATTACTGCCCTCTTTGTCTCACTGGGAGCGACACCCTTAATAACTTTTTAAACCAACAGACACTGAAACCACGGCTGGAGGGAACCACGGATGAATGTGCATTCCCTTCTAAAAAAAACTCTTTTATTCTCTCCTCAATTCTGAACAGCTAGAGACGTGCAATAAATGACATATATTGGTTGCAGACTTTACCAGAGACAAGCGATGGTTCCATGTGGGTCTCCTTCTGATGGGTGCAGGAGAGTGAGTGGGTCTTAAGAGAAAGACAACAAAATTAGGACTTAACATATAACAACAATGACACAATATTTCTATTATAATAAAAATAGCATTAAAAAAAAGATCACAACAGAAGAGCTCTACATGGTAAAGTTTTCTCAAAGTGATCAAAAGATAGAAGACATATATCTGTAGGCAGCTGTGTATAATTAATTTATGACTAATAATGCAATATAAAGACATGGCCTCTTTTATTGGTTTCCCAGGCAAAAAAGCATGTAGTCTTAAAAGAAATTCAAGCATGATTTCACAGTGAAAGCTTAGAAAAACCAGATATTTTCCATCAATTCTGTGTTGAATTGGTTTATTTTGGAGGTGACCCATTAACAGTTTACTAGTACTGTCAGATCTTAATTTTAAATTGCCAAGTACAGTGAACCCTCGCTATAACGTGGTTCACTTTTCACGGTCTCGCTGCTTCACAGATTTGCATCGTGCATTGTGTTCTGCATTCAGTCTCTTCGCGCTTTCTCCCAAATGTGTGTCAATAACGTTATGGTTTAATATGTACAGTACTGTACACGTACGTAAAACCACTTTCCAAATTGAAGTTTGCTAATTCTCTTTCTCTAAAAACCATAATGTCGACAAAACGTTCTGCACTCAATCAGAACAGCAGTGAAATACTGTACTATACTGCACACGTGAGTCACTATTTGTCCTTGTCACGGCAGGGCGGTGCTGATCCCCGCAATATTAACCCTTCAGTTCGTATTGATGCTTAAAATTATTATTTATTTATTCATAACTATATTATTTTACAGTACAGTACAGTAGTTATTTGTCAAAAAAACAACAAAAAAACAACAACAACAAACGTTTACACAGTACTTTTATTTGTTAAACAAATGCTTGGGCCTGTAAAAAGTTTTTGTTACTTTATTTCAATGTTTTATGGAGTATTTTATTGTATAATAACTGTAAAAAAATAAAGGTTTCTACTTCACGGATTGTGCCTATCGCGGGTTCTTTTCGGAACGTATCCTCCGCGATAAATGAGGGTTCACTGTACTTCAAAACACTGAGCCTTATAGCAAATTTCACAGGGCCCACAGCACCACAGATCTTCCACTGCACTTAGGAATAGAAACCAGGGGCTCTCTCACTGTATCCCCCCTATGCACTGAGCCAAACCAAATGACATCCTTTGTTCTTAAAGGAATAGTACACCCAAAACATGATTAGCCTTCATTTTCTACTCACCCCCATGCTGAACAACACTCTGGAGTACTTTTTTGATATCTCAAATGCATCTGGAGATCTGGGAGGCTTCTTGCTGTCTGCTGACATTCAAATAATGGAGGTCTATGGTGACCGAGACAGAAAGGTCCATAAAAGTCCACAAAAAACGTGTCAATATTCCTCCATACTGCTCGTCCAATGTATTCCAAGTGTCCTGAGTGGGTAGCATCCAGAATTTACTCGAAACGAAGTCATTTAGAATGTTTTTAGAGCATAAACAGTAGTGTATAGGATTTCCTGAAAGCGCGCACCTGCGCGCTCACGACGCTACGGAAGCCGGCAGACCAAACCAGCGCATTCAGCTCGGCAAAGAACTCATGCTCTTCCTCAACACTGAAGTCCTCAGACATTTTTCTTTCGTTGTTTCTTTCTTTGCACAGGTAAACAGCACATTTCTTCTTCTACGCTTGCATTATTGGCAGAGCAGACGCTGAATGCGCACTTTCATCTGGTTTGGTCTGCCGGCTTCCGTAGCGTCGTGAGCGCGCATGTGCGCGCTTTCAGGAAATCCTATACACTACTGTTTATGCTCTAAAAACATTCTAAATGACTTCGTTTCGAGTAAATTCTGGATGCTACCCACTCAGGACACTTGGAATACATTGGACGAGCAGTATGGAGGAATATTGACATGTTTTTTGTGGACTTTTATGGACCTTTCTGCCTCGGGCACCATAGACCTCCATTATTTGAATGTCAGCAGACAGCAAGAAGCCTCCCAGATCTCCAGATGCATTTGAGATATCAAAAAAGTACTCCAGAGTGTTGTTCAGCATGGGGGTGAGTAGAAAATGAAGGCTAATCATGTTTTGGGTGTACTATTCCTTTAAATGATAATCCAAGCAATTGATTAGAACACACCATAAAGTTCAAGTTCAAGAAGAATTTAGAAATGGGGTTGTTCATGCTGTTGCACTTGTTTCATAGACGTTCAACTCTCGGGAGTGGGTATAAGGTTGTGAGTACTTTTTTTTTTTAAGTGGAGAGGGTGGATCTTTTATTATTAATTCGTGAAGATCCTCCACTATACCTTTAAATAAAGGAGGGGTTTTATCTAAATATTTTAGGGTGACATTATGTCACTATATTAAAAGGTAGCAAAAACTTTGACCAGCATAATTAGTATAGCCGTTGCATAACCTTCAAAATGTATCCACTTTATAATGACCTGTGGCCGGCCTTGAGACTTACTCTGTGCAGATTTTGTTTTGTTTGTAGAACTTGTGTCTGGCCGTGAAAAGACGAGCAATGTACTTGGCCATTTCCATATCCTCCTGCAGATACACACACAGAAAACACAAACGGGCAAAACATTTTAACAACAATCAACCAAAAGCAGTTCCGTTTATTGGAAATCACCCCCCTTATCTTTCTTTTTTGCTGGTATCTGCAGACGTAACCTTCCATCTCCTAGGAAGTGTTTTTGTATGCATACCAAAGGAGCATCCAGACACAACACTCACCATGTGAAAATTGATGGTGTCGTCTCTGCTTGTTATCTCCACTGTGATAGCTGATTTGTTGTGTGCTATGGTACCGATGTCCTTCCACCTGTTGCACAGAAGCAAACACATTTAAAAAGAGAGAATAGTGAACTTGGCTTTCACACATTCATAGGAGCTGCATGACTTCTTTCGAAATTCATTTAAAAAAAAGACACAACATAAATGGGCCACTGACTTGTGGAGCATGATGGATCTGCCGTTTCTGTGTTTGACGAACACCCCAACAAAAGACATGCCGATGAAAATATCATTAGTGTAGTTGTCCTGAAGGAAAGGAAGAAATAGAATAAAAACCCAGCCGGATGTTTCTTCCAATTAAGATTTTCTTTCCATATATTTAATTATAATATAGCTACCTTTGCAGGAAAACTCTCCTGGCCAAAACCGTCCAGTTTTTCAACCTCTTTGATGTACAAAAGTTCAGCTTCAGCTGGCGGCCTTCCACTAAATAGTAAAAACATAACATGAATCAGAACCATTTCTGTCGTCTGTGCACATTTTATACCACTTATGTCAGACATTTACATGCAGTAATGTTTGGCATAAATGTGGGGCGGTGAAATAATTACCGGTAGACATCAAACAGCTTAAATGCAATTTAAGAATTAGATGCATCATTATACATTTTACCAAGAGAATAATTTAGTGTACTGTCTTTTTCTTTTTTTGACAAAAGGAGACATGGTGGATTATTGTGATTTTTGCTCCTGTTAAAATACTTTTTAAAAGGTAGCTGTTCATTTATGCAGCAAGTTCTCCATTATTTCATCCAACATTTGAAATACACTGATACAGCTTGCAGTGAAAAAGTCACACAGCATAATGCCACCACTACCACTCTTGAAAGCTACTGTGGTTAGCAGATAAAATATTTTGGTCAAGCTTTAGCCTTAGTAGTTTTTAATTTAAGGGAGACAGCTTAGATCATAAGGCTAAAAAATATGTTTTATAAAGGATCAATAATCCCATGCATGCACCAATTGATGCCAATTGAAGCTTATTCATGGCTTAACATGCTAAGAAACATTTATTACAATATTAGGGAGCTTTTATTTTAAAAAAAAAATTATTTTGAACCTTTTTTTTTTATAAAATCTAAAATTTGTCTCTTAAAAATCTCTGTACTTATATAATAGGTTATTCGTCAAAAAGAAGTTTTCAAATGTAAATCAATTTTTAAATAATCATAGTTGTATAGAAAACTGCATGTAAATGTCTGGCAAGAATTGTTCAGACAGATTTTGATATAGCAATAGGTACCAGTGGCTTTTATGCTCCTCAGCAACTTTCTTGGTCCACTCCTCTAGAACTTCATCCCCATTAGGCCAGTTCTACAAAGAAACAAAAATAAAATAGCAACAGTTAGCGATAAAGCTATAGCTTAAATAAAGACAAATAGTGGAAGTCAATGTTGAAGAGTATAAATACAATAAAAACTACTCAAAGAAATGGGAAAAGTGCATCCTGCTTCTTAAAATCCCATCATACAGGTTTTCAAAGATGAATTCATTAAATCTTTAATTATTTTAACCACATCACCCACTTCGGTATTAATTCGGCTGGTCATTAATCACTGTACACACAAGAGGGCATGCCTTCAAGAAGTGCATGCATGAAAAGAACAAACTATGCAATCATTTGAGGAGCGAAAGTTGGAAAACTCACCACTGGGAAGAGCACATACTCTCTGAGGAAGTCCTGAGATGGGAAGTGGGTGAAGTCTCCAAAGTCAGCTATAAATTATCGATAAGCATTAAGAATAATTCAGACCAAAATAGCTTGAATGTACTTTGGTTAAAATAGATCAATTAAATATAAATAAGGAAACCTTAATTTTCTATGTGTAGATTAGACGGGTGTTGTAACTTTGATGTAATTTCTGAGTTGAGTTGAGTTAATCAGCCATAATATAATACAATGAAGCTACAGCACAGCTGTTTTAGGCTACTTGAGGAGTGCCTGACCTAAAATAGTGGATTGTTGTTATAAAGGACGACTACTTTTGACAAGTTCTGAAACAAACATTTAAACGGATCTTAAATACACATAAAATCTAAGAGGAGCCTTCTTTTAAACAGGCTAGCGAAAGAATAAAGTGTAAATTATGAAAATAGGTATGCAAACTCATACATTTACTATGTATTATTATTACATCACAGTTTTTTTTTCTTTCTAAAATCTCGATAAACTTGATAAATCTAAATCTACAATGCAGATTTTATGTACTTATTTTGTTCAAACTAAGGGTCTGAGGAATTGAAGCCTTTCCAATTAACAAGATGGCACTGCTGGCATGCAGTTGTTTTTTTCTGTATACATAGTGAACAAACACAAAACAAAAATTGGATAGAATTGTACTTTCTTTTTCTGTTATTACTTATTTTCACGTATGTTTTAAAAAAGCATTTAGGAAAGAAATGGTTAAGTATGGCAATAATTTATAATCATATATAGCTCTAAACATGCTTTATGATTAAATGAACTGTTTATGAATAGGTAGTGTTCACTATGTAAGACTAGATAGACATTATCAAAACACCAGCCAACAAACATCTCCATGACCTGCTCATTCTTTAGATAGGGCTTGTACTCAGCACTAAGTGCTGTCTGTTGGACAGAAGGAGGCAAAGTGGAGGATCTCGTCTCCTTACAGATAAAGCTCTTCCTGATGCTATGAAGCTAACCTTGGAGCTGCTGATAAGACAGCAGTCTGTTTACATTCCCCCTGAGACACAGACTGCACCCAGGAACAAACCAGAGAGCACCTAGAGGGCATATTTTAGTGTGTGTATGTGTTAGGATTGATACCATAGGAACTCAAGTGGACTGGATTCTCTGTGGTATGCAGCCATATAAGGCAGGGGGGAGACAAGATGACCTGAGCAACAATGAGTTTGCGCTATCTGTCTCTCTCTAGGAATTTATTCACATTAGTTTTTTTTTTATTGTACATGCATATGTCTTACCTTGTACTGCTAGCCCAGCTAGTCTGATGCCTCGCTCCACAGTACACTGCAGGCGTCCATCCAGCACCTCCTTCTTCACCTGCAGATAATACTGATACCTACAAAGAAAGGATGGCAGAAAAGTAGGAGGAAAACCTTTAGTAAGAAAAGATAAAGAGTGTCTAATTGACTCTTTAGTTTAACATTGGGGTAGCAAATGAATATGGTTTACCCATGATAGCTGATGTGCATAAGCATCTGTCAAAACCTCAAAAGTTTTTGGCTATGTAACAATGCAAAAACAAATAGGTGAAGGAAAAAGAAAGGTACACAGGCCCTGAGAGATGAACGTGCATCATGCTAAAAAAAAACAACATAGATTTTAATCAAACTGTACATTTCTAAAGGTTTAAAAGATTATGATCACTGATCTAACCAAATCAACTTTACTGAGGCTCTAACAGGTAATCCCTTCAATTGTTAAACTATATGACATTTCTTAAAATTAGAAGCTCTCAAGTCATCAAAAAAAAAGTCAAATTTTCTAACCCTAAAAGTTTGAGTTCAAACAACCAAAATTTAAAAAAACAACAAGGGTGCAGAATGAGAAGAACGGGTAACAAACAACATTTCTGCCATCAGTTACTGAACAGACTATGAACCTAAAGATGGCTGCACTAAACAGAACTTCGAAGTCCATCACACAAAGAGATGGAGCATCAATATAAAGGGTTACAAGAAAGTTTAGCTTCAGAAACCAAAATATAAAGAAATAACACCTGATAAGACTCTTTGGACAGTGCTGCAGCCACAGATGTAAAGTATTGTAAATGGCCTAGGATCCCAAAGCACTTTACACTACAATCACTCATTCACAAACTCACAGTCACAGAAGAAGAGAAAACATTTTATTCATTTTTCAGTTAGGATTAGTTAAAAATATACAAGCTTAAAAATCCCAACACATCCAAATCTTTTAAAAAATTGTTCTTTGATTAAGGATTTTTAAAACTGTGTATTGTGAAGGATTCTTTTACAGTCATTGACCATAATGACTGTACAATGATATTTGCCTGATTCTTGTGAAAAAATGACACAATGTTCATCACAGCTGAATAAACTGTTATGCAACTCACTGAAAACTGTTCAACTTGCAATTTCATGAGAACTAGTCCTTGGTAGCTCTATAAAAATGCTTTAATAGCAATAATTGAAAAGGATGATATAGGTTATGTTACGTTCAGCTAGTCAAGCCCTCATTAATAAAAGTTTAGTTTTCTTGTTCGTTTAAAACTAAAGTGCTATGTGGTTAATGAAAAGCCGCCATGAATAAGTAACGGTTTTAAAAGTAAAACTGTGGGTGGCTTTAAAATAGGTGGGTGGGTGGTCATTTATTAACTTTCAGAAACCCTCCAGAATTTGGTTGGGGTTTAATGTTGGATGTTTCACCAAGTCGCACAATCACTAATCACCAATGTATAAAGAATTAATGCTGGTTCTGTCTTTAAGATCATTAATGTATCCAGAGCATGACAGGAAAGCTTTTGCTGTGGCGATGGAAGGATTGCAAACACGCCGACAGAACACAGAAGACGTATTCTTCTGTTTCTGGTCTGCGCGACAGAAAATGTGCGTCAAGCTTGTTCTGGTTCCCTTGAACAAAGCCAGAGAGGCCTGCTGCAGAAGTGAGGAATGAGTGAATCACCTCTGTTTGAAACAACACTGACTCATTTTTAACTGCAGTGGAATGCCAACTGGACGCTAAACTAAATGATTTTGTGGGTCTGTAATCATTCATGGAGGGGGTGGGGGGGTTGCTGAACTAAATCAAATATCAATTACAAAGTTAAAGTAGGTCTGCAAATGAGAGGAAAACTGGGACTTGTTTCACTGTGGCTTTGGGCAATGGTGGTTTTGTCAAGTGTAAACCGATACATTAACTGAGGTTGGACTCTTGAGGCTTCTCTCTGCTATCAGAGAATGTGGTAAAATTCAAAACAAAGTTGAAAACAGAAAACACCTTAAGTTTCCATGCTTCTTTTTTGTCCTTTTTTAGCCTCCTGCTGCTGAGTGTTTGTCTTCTGAAGAATGACAGTGGCCACACAGGAGGGCAGGGAGGACCGTTGTGATGACTGGGCTTAGCTACAGAAAAACTCACACAGTGTTTCCCACTCTGCTGCCATGGTAAACACAGGCTGAATCTTTCTAAAGTGGGCTGTGAGACACCTTTTCTGACACATTCACACACAAGTTGATGCACAGACAGAAACCGAGTCTATTTAGAAACCACACTATTCCATGTTTGGTCACTCCCTCTCTCCCCCGCAACACCAAAAATACCAGGATTTACTTATTCCTAAAACTTCTGTTCTTTTCATTTCCCACCTCACATCCCTTATAAGTCATATTCTGTCACATTCTCTCCACTGTGTCTTTGTGTTTCTTTTCCTTTTCAAGCTCCTCTAGGCACACTCACAGACCTATAATCTGACCCCGCCCTCCTCCCCTCACCCTGTCATTACCACCGTTGGCTAAGATGCCATTCTGTTCCCGTGGCAACCCTCTAATTAAGTCAACCCCAACCACAGAGGAGGCTGGAGAAAATGGGGGCGGGGCTAAATTTGGTCAGGAAGGGGGAGGAGCCTTTCAGAATACATAATCTTTTAAACGATTGTGGACTTTGTGCTTTTTAAAACTCTCCATGTTTTCCCTGCATTCTCATGGCCGAGACTGCGGAGATGCTAAAGATGGAAGAGGTTGTTTATTTTCTAAAGTTGGATCAGAACAACATGATGGTGTTAAAACATGGTAGAGGTCAGATGAAGCAGATGGTAAGCTTTTGAAATACCTGATGCAAAAAAGCAAAAAGAAAAAAGATCAAGAATCTCATAGAATCCAATCCAATCCATTAGACTGCATTTTAATAATTTCAACCATGAAACAGGACTCAACATTAGAAAGTTAGATCAAATATCATATCACCATTACCAGGTTCTTCAGTAGAGAAAGTCCTATAAGCAAAAAGATGCTTTATAGTAGTCACAGACAGAAAACACGGGGATCTGGTGCCTATTTCCAGCTCTCTATGGTGCAAAAGGGTCAGCAGTCGGTCACAGGAAAATACAGAACGCAAACACACATTCACCCCCAAGGGCAATTTAGAGTCACCAATTAACCCAGACCAAAGGTTTTTACCGAAAGTGGGAGGAAGCTGGAGTAACTGGTGAAAATCTACACATTCAGCATTTTTTTTCATGTATCAGTATCGGCCAATACATGCATGTGTTCGCTGATTCATTACATAGCTATCCCTTGAGGTCAAGTAAGGTGCATGAAATTTTTGCTCCCTCTGTTTGCTATCCATTGTTAGTGTTTTTTTTTCTTTATTAACACACTTTTTTATATATAAATTCATGCCTGTCTAACATTTGTTATTGTTATGTCATTTTTTGTGTAAATGGTAGAAGAATAAAGGAATATCAGCTGTAAGAATAAGCCCCTAAAACTTAGTAGCACATAACTGGTATCGACAACGCGATTAAAAAACCTTTATCGGTCGTTCTCTACTACAAACTGGCCAACGATGCACTTAGAAAAAGAAAAGCAATAGAGATTGAAAGTTATCAATGTGAAATTTCTGAATTTTTTATTTCATTCTAAAAGTTTAATCCATTAGTTGTTGTTGTTTTTTTTTTAGAGTCGTCTAAAGAAGATTCTAAGATTTTTTCGCATGATGAAATCTAAAAACGTTAGAAGAAATTTGTTAAATAAATGTTTAAATAAGTGACTCCCAACCAGGGGTGTTCGTTTCCCTAGTGGTCTGCAAGTGCATTGCAAGAGGTACATAAAAATATTTCAATTTAGGTAGTAAAAGAAAATAGGGCTGGGATCTGTTCTGCTTTGAGAGGATCCAAATGAAAAATTAGACAAGCTTTCTTCAACCAAAAACTCATGGTAAGAATAAATCGATACAGAACTAAATACTAACCTGCATTGAGGTGTTACAGGTATACTAGATAGCATTTGAAATTTGGTTACAGTCTCAATACTTGACTTGAACTTAAGGGTAAGAGAATTGACTTCAACTTGTCTTTTGCTCAGCCTAAGAATGGATTTGATGACTCAATGACCTGGAACTTGACTTGGTCTTGTGAAAAATTACTTGCAAACATGACTATGGAGGCCAGTTTTCCTTAGCTCCTTCTCAAAATTAAAAATAAAAAACTGGAAGAGGGACCAAAGTTTACTACAATATGGAGACAGAAATGCTGCACTTCAGTGAAGGTAGTCTGATAGCCTCCCAGTGTTTTAGCGACACAGCAACATTTTGGTCAACCCTGCTGGGATTTTAACCGGAAAAAAGTGCTGATGGGTCATAAAATTAAGCATTTGGCAAGTGAATTCATCATAAAGCAAAGGATTTGTATGTCCAAAAGAACCTCATGCCCATTGCTAAGTATGATAGCATCATAGCGGAGATTCTATGATGCTATGGCACTGACCATTTTAGGTTAGGTTAGGACCTTTGATAACATATCACTTGGTAAGATAATCCAAAACACAAGGCCCCATGAACAAAGAGACGGTTCACTGGTCTGAAAGAATAATTTCTCTCACAACCATCTCAGATCCCACACCTGTACATAATGGCTAATAACTGATTAATCTGTTTCTTAAAGGGGTCGATTTTGTGGCAGATTATTTTCATCAAAGGGTCAATGTACAGGTCAAATCTAGGAGCAGGAGATACAAACGGACATTTCATTTAGTCAATGAATAAAGTGTTTTGGCACATTCCCCATACCGTCATAATTAACAAGCTTAATAAACTTCCAAATTTTCAGCATTCACCCAAAATATTAACTCACACAGCTAGGTATTTCCTTAGTGACTCAAACATATGTAGAAACACCACTTCTGTGTCATAGAAGTACTTAGTAAGTCAGAATGACTTCATGATCCTTTAACAGCTGGTAAATATACTTACTTACTCTTACTACATGAGGTAAAGCTTTCCTTACTGGGAGTTTCTTGCGACTTCCTCAAAGCAGAATATTCTGCAGGAAGTCCAGACACTGTAACAGGCACAAAGAGCCTTTCATACACCCACGCATGTTCA